CGTAATCAATGTACCTGCATTGCTGTGTGACTGCGGGGGCTTCAGCATGTGAGGAGTGAAAAGGAGAAACACCCCCCCTGCCCCCCTTGCTTTCTCCCTTGCTTGCGTTTCCAGCTCCCCTCTCCCCACAGCCGGACTCCGTCCAGGACTGGCCTTCTGAACAGAAGCAGAGGTAGCCTTCAGTTCTGAGATTGCAAGCTCCTTTTTTAAATTCAAAGCTAATTAAACAATTGAAACTGCGCAGCTTTAAGGAAGGAGTGCAATGAACACCTCCCCCCCCTCTTCAATTTCAACATCTGCTTCCTCTTCACCTTTTGAAGCAGCAGCTTTGAACTCTATTAAAAGCCCCTCCAAAGGCCTGGCTGGGGCTATGTGGGGAAAATGAAATTGGGCTTCTGAAATTGGCCAGAAGTTAAAGAAAGTTTAACTGGCTTGTGAAAATGACACTTCCCCCCCCCCAAAAAAAAAGAGAGGAGAACATCCAAAATATGAGAGCCTTAGAGGTTATCAGTTGAGGGTCTTTCCCCTTCAGGGGGGAAAAACCCCTTGAATCCACTTCTTCTCTCCCAAGATAGGAAGACCCTCGTAGCTCCGCTGGTTTTCCTGCCGGCCGGCTGGCCGGCCAGCCGTGGGTTGTCCCAGTGAGCAAAGCCTCCACCTGTTTGCTCCAGGGGAGTCAGTGGGGGTTGATGCCCGTTGCCTTCTTGTTGGTTGTGTGGCACAGGCTCCCTTGAGGGGCCAGGATAACTGGGGGCAGCGCCCGTTGTGGGGATTCATCTCCCAGGCCCCGGACTGTCCTCTCCTGCTCCGCTAGCCCAGCATGTAGACAATTGCAGCCCCCGAGGCTGGAACTCGCTCATTGCAGACATGCAGAAGCTGCATTTAAGTTTCTTGAGGGACAAGAGTGAAAGGGGCCTCCCAGATTTCAATCGGCAGTTGTTTCTTCATCCTCCCGGTTGGTTTGTCCAGTGGCCACAGCATGATTGTCCCCACCCTTGGAGGAGGCGAGGATGGAGGGGGGATGGTGGGGTCTGAATAGCCCCCCTCTGCAAGGGACAGCACACAGAAGCCCCTGCCCATAAGCCCCCTTTCCCTCTTGCTCTCTTCCCAGACCTTCGACTACAACCTCACCGACAGCGAAGGGAACTACTCCTACGACGAATACCTGTGTCCTCAGGCGGAAGGCGGCTCCAGGCAGACCTTCCAGAGTGTCCTGGTGCCCTTGGTCCACCTGCTCATCTTTCTGCTTGGAGGCCTGGGCAACCTCCTGGTGGTGGTCATCCTGTGGCGCTACAGACGCTCCCGTACTTCCACGGAGCTCTTCCTTCTCCACTTTGCCCTGGCCAATCTGCTGCTGCTGCTCACCTTCCCCTTTGGCGTGGTGGAGAGCCTGACGGGCTGGGTCTTCGGCCTCTTCCTCTGCAAGCTGCTGAGTGCCGCCAACCGGATGAGCTTCTACGCCAGCAGCCTGCTGCTCGGCTGCATCAGCGTGGACCGCTACCTGGCCGTGGTCTGCGCCCTGCAGACCTTCCAGAGGCAGCGCGGCCTCTCCATCCACTTGGCCTGCCTGGCTCTCTGGCTGCTCTCCTTTCTGCTGGCCATGCCTGACTTGCTGTTCACAGAGGTCTGGGTGCAAAGCCACAACCTGAGCATCTGCCACTTCAGGGAGTATGGCGCGCACGGCATCAACTCCTGGCTGGCCCAACGCTTCCTCTACCACCTGGTGGGCTTCTTCCTGCCCTTGGGGCTCATGTGCTATTGCTACACAGCCATCGTGAGGCTCCTCTGCCGGTCCCAGCGGCTGCAGCGGCAAAAGGCCGTGAAGGTGGCCATTGCGGTCACGAGCGTCTTCCTGCTCTGCTGGACCCCTTACAATGTGGTCATTTTCTGGGACACCCTCGCCAAGATGGAGGTCACAGGGAAGTCCTGCACGCTTGACCAGGGGCTGAGCAGTGCCGTTGTTGTGAGCGAGGTGCTTGCCTACAGCCACTGTTGCCTGAATCCCATCCTCTACGCCTTCGTGGGCATCCGTTTCCGCCACGACTTTTGCCGAATCCTGCACGATGTGGGCTGTCTGAGTCAGGGGGCCCTGCAGGAGGTTCTGGGGCCCTGCAGAATTGAGAGCAGCACCGAGACCAACGTCTCCAGTGTCCGGCACGGGGCCTCCTCCTACTCCGGAAACACCATGTCTTCCAGCCTGCCCGATCGGTTCCCTTCTCACAAGGATCCAAGCGGCCAAGAGTGTCGGGAGGAAGGCTCGGACCCGGCTTGGGCCCAAAGCAGGGGCTGAGCCCCACATACCTTCTCTAATCGCTTAGATGCTGTTTCCCAGGAAGCTACGGGAGGCTTGGCTGTTGCCCCCGGCCTTCGCTTGTCCTGGTTCGGATTGCGCTGCTCACACACAGATCAGGCTTCCTCGAGAGCAGGGCTGTGTCCTCATTGCCTCCCTGCAGAACATGTTGCATATTTGGCCCCAGGAGGCCCTTGCCATGGTCAGTGCTGACATCACAGTCAACCCAGGCGTCTTGGAGTCGAGGGGGGAATCCCACCGCCTGGGCCCTGGCCCTTCCCCTGGCTGCTCTTTGCTTTCGGCTGCCCCAGGCAGGAACCCTTCTTTCTGGGCAGGCTGTCCCATTAGCAACTTGCCTATCTGCAGCGTGTGAGGCGAGGAAGTCCTCCGTTCCCCGAAAGAAATCCAGCCCATGTCTCCTCAAACCTCCTGTGGCCTCTGCTCGTCCCCAGGGGCAGCCAAGCCTGCAACTGCTCTCTTCAGAAACCCCTTTCCTTTGCAACCGTGGCCCCCCCGAGTGCCTCCCCCCCAGAGCTGCACCGTCAAGGGCCTGTTCACAGGTTTGGCTTTCCCACGATCACAGCATTTTTCACCAGCCTCTAAAATCCCCAGACTTGTTTAACAAAATTCCCAGTACTTTTGTATTTTTGCTGTAAATATTTGCTCTGGAGAATGTGTGAAACAGATTGTAAACCTTCCTTGTGCTTTCCCTTGCTTGAAATAAAGACATTGCCAGCCTTTCCCCGCTTCTTCTGCAGTTGGCCCAAGAAAGGGGGCTCAGCAAGCAGCCCAGCAGGGGGGGAGGGAGGGAAGGGAGGGAGGTCTGGGGGGAGGGTGACCCACCCAAATGAAGTCCTCATTGTCCTGACAGGGGGACCTCCAGCGTGTGTCGGATGAGAGTCAGGCCCAGGGTTGCTGTGAGCTCCAAGGCAGCCTTGGAGGCCATCCCCGCATGGCAGAGTGGGACCCCCCCGCCAGCCCCGCCCTTTGGGAAAGGTGTGCTGTGGGAGGGGCTTCCTGGCTTCTACCAACCAAAGACACCTCAGTCTCTGCTCCATCTTACAGGGCCCGGGGGGGGGGGGGCATCAGCCGGCAGAGGCCCCTCTGCTCTGCTCGCAGGAGAGCTGGCTGCCTCTCTTGACCGGAGCAGCCTCCAGGCCTTCCTTCCCACCATCCCCACGTGGGACTTGCTCTGTGGCTGCTCTGGGACTGGCATTGTGTATGCTCTGCAATTCTGCCTTGTGTCATAGGGCAGGAGGGGAACGTCTTCCCACCAAGTAACCCCCAGCAAGAAGGCAGCAGAGGGGATCCCCGCACAGGTACCGCATGGCCTCCCCATCCCTGAGGGCAGAGCAGAAGCCCCAGCAGAGAAAGCAGCTGCTGCTGCCGCTGGCACTGCCCTTTCCCCAGCCCCCAGCCGAGGGCTCTGAGGGCCTGGGGGCATCAGGTGTGCCTGCTGGCTTCTCAAGGCCAGAGCCCCTCATTTCAACCCGGAGCTACAAATATTCTCTCCCTTTTTAAAACCAAAAACATTTAACCCTCTGACACAGCCCCCAAGGAAACACTTCCACGTTCAGAAGTACTTAAGAGAGCCGGGAAAGAGGAGGGTGCCTCAGGCAACCTGGGGGAAGACCCCTCCCTCCCCGACAGCCATGAAGGGTTGGGGTGCCTGTCTCCAATCTCGGGGGTGGCGAGGCTTCCGCCCAGTTGACCAGTGCCAATCCCTGCACCGGGAGAGAGAAAGACATCACAGGAAGCTCCTGGCAGAAGTTTTGATTTTTTTTAATAAAAAGGCACCTATAAAACAGGTCAATCAATACGTTACAGGCAGCACAGATACCCCAAAACAAGCCTAGAAATCATTTCAAAATAAAAACCGGTAAGATGTCTTCACATATTGTATTTATATATTTATATTTATATTTATTTATATATATTTATTTATAGACTGGTACAAAATGCATGGCTGACAGGAAATGGCATGGAGCACCCAGTGTCCCCCCCCCCTGTGAGCCGCAGGGGTCACCCCGATAGCACCTCCTCCTGACTGACCGCAAAGGAAGCGGGGGCGGGGGGGGGGCGCTCAGCAGAGGCGATTCAAGCTGGGGAGGGAAAACAGGAAGGGAGGCAGGAGACACGAGACTGGACCACATTCACAGCACAAGGCAGAGCTGGAGGGGGGAGGGCGGGAGGGGGAGAGCCCATGAATGCTCCAAGCGAGGATGAACATGACGGTGGTCACTGGAAGCCCCTTCTGTGGCGTTGGGGGGGGGGGGGCTGTTGTGGTGAAACTCCTGGCCAGACCCTGGGAAACCAGCCTCCCCCTTGCTCCTCCTGGGGGCTTCTAATCCTGGTGTCCCCAGCAGGCCCCCTGCAGCCCCCCCCCCTCTTCTGATCTTCACTGCCAAAGCTGGGGGAGGGGGGGGGTCTCAGCAGAAGCTGAGTTTAAAAGTGCAGAGGCGCCCCAGCTTGGCAGTGCCAGGTGCACCTGCCGGGAGGGGCCTGCAAGACCCAGCCCCCACCCTGAGCCCCAGCCTCGGGTGCTCCTCAACCCCTGGGCAGGCCCAGAGAAAGGGCCTCCCTGACCTGCTCCGTCCACTGCCTCGTTCTAGACAGAGGCAGGGGATGAACAACCCCCCCCTCCACAGAGACACGAGGGGCAGGCGAGCCTTTCCCAAGGGGGGCTACGGGGCCTGCCCTCTCGCGCCCGTCTCCCTGCAAGCCCCCCTCAGTCCCTGCCCATGCTAGAGGGCAGCTGCTTGGCTTCGTTCCTTGTGGGCAACTGCGGCCAAATGGAAGCCATCTTTTTTCAACGGGAGACTATTTCGACCTTTGATCCCCAAACCTCCTCTCCTCCTCAGGGTATCCCACTACAAGCCCAGGAGGTGGAATCGGGCCGTGGAGCCGTCCCGTGGCCATTCTGCAGCAAGGGACCCGGCAGAGCGTGCCAGGAGGCATGGAAGCAAAGGGAAGAGCTCACCCCGTCTGCCCCCCTCCCCCGTGGGAAAACAAGCAGAAGGCCACTGGAGGGGCAATGCCCAACGGTCTGGGACGCCCCCCCACCCTTTTCCTGCCCCGGCCACCATCCCTTCACGGCCCGGGGGAAAGGGCCCATCCACTCTCGTGGCGTCCTGTAAGGAGAGCTAAGGGGGCGGGGTGCAAACGTCACCTCAGGCCCTGTCCCAGCATTAGCCTGGAGTGTCCAGCCCTGTGGGCAGCTGGCCCACGGACTCCGCCCGGTTGCAGGCAGCTGCTGGGTGGGCCTTCCATCTGGCGCCAGGGTAGCTGGTGGAGGAGGGCTTCCACCTTTTCCTCGGTCTCCTCCGGCCCAGAGAAGGCTGGGCGGCCGTTGCTCCCCCAGACCTACCGACACCAATTCCCAATTCCTCCTTCCAGAAGTCAAGCAGAGAAGGCGGGACGGGCCTTAGAAGGGCAGGTTGGCCATGCTGCCGGCTCCGGGGCCGTAGCTCATCTGGCCGTCCAAGGAGACGCTGCGCTGGCGCATGGAGACCATGAGGTTCTGCTGGGACGGGGGGCCCATAAGGGGGCCCTGTGGGGAGATCAGGTGCCCCGCCGGCTGCCCGTACATCTCTCCGGAGACGGAAATGCTGCGTTGCTTGGCCTGCATGAGCAGGAAGTTCTGCTGGGCTAGGAGGCTCTGCTGGGGCAGCATCAGCCCTTGGGGCAGGCTGTTGCCCACCAGGCTCTGCTGGGGGGGCAGGCCTGTCCTGCCCAGCACGGGCATCTGTCCGGGGTGGCACAGGGTCATTCCTCGCGGCATCGTTTGTGGGCCGGGCCGGGCCTGGCCCTGTTCCACCATCATGTTCTGCAGGCTCGCCAGGTGCAGGTTGGAGGGGGGCAGGCCCTTGACCCCCTGGCCCTCCCCCCCCTTGGGGAAGTACTGCAGCGTGCTGCTGGGCTTCTCGGAAGGGATGATGCGGGAGAGGTCGAACTCGGGAATGCCCGTTGGTGTGGGGCGGATCACGTCGCTCAGCTCTGGGTCGCTCAGCACGGAGGCCACAGAGGGGTAGGGCTCCGGCAGCCGCCCGGCCAGGCGCTGCTGCGGGGGCACCTGCTGGGGGGGCAGCTCCTCTGGAGGGACTCCCAAGCCAGGCGGGTAGTGGTGTTGCTGTGGGGGAGGCGGCTGCTGCAGCCCGGGTCCGGCCGCCCCTCCTGGGGCCATTGGAATGCCGCCATTGGCGGGGGGCTGCTGCAGACGCGGTGCGAATACCAGCTGGCCAGAAGGGCCGCAGGGCTGGCCCAGGGCATCGGGGGGGCCGGGGGGCATCATCGAGTTCTGCACAGGAGCGCCGCTGTGCATGGGGAGGCCGGTGCCCAGGGGGCTGGGCGAAGACATCGGGGGGGCTGCCACTTCCTGGGAGAGCAGCTGCTGTCCAGCGAGGTTCAGGCCCAGAGGGCTCGGCACAGGGGCTGGCCCCACAGAGTTCACGTGCATTGGATTGGGCTGGTTTCCGCCCATGCCTGCAAGGGAAAACGGAAAGGGCTGAGCCCTAGGGCAGGACACGTTGCAAGCATGCCCCAACTCGACGGCACTGTCACGGGGCCCAGAAGAGGCCCCTGGAAGCCTGCCCGAACCCCACCCCCCCAAACTCTTACCAGACATAGCCCCAGACGGCAGCAGGGGCCGGTCCGGGAGCAGTTCGTCATCCGAGGTGGCAATGGTCTTGATGGCATTGTGGTAGAGTGGCGTGGAGCTGGGCATGGCGTATTTGGACATCTGGGACATCATGAGGGACAAAGGGTTCTGGGATGGGGGTGGATCTGGAGAGGAAGGAAAAGGCAGGCTGGGGTTCAGGGGGCCAGAGACGTTGCCAGGCGGGGCAGAGGAGCTGCTCCGAGACCCAGAGGGCACAGCGCCTGCAAGAGAGAGACAGAAGCGTCTTCAGGCCAAGTCGAAGCAGCATCAGGCAACCCTCGGAGCTGAGCCGGGGGAAGAGCTGACACAGCCGAAACCATGCCGGCCAAAGGCATCTGGGAAGGCCGCCGGCCGGGCCAGGAGGGCAGCCGCTCTCTTTCCCTCCAGCTCCCCAAACTGATGCTAGGAGATGCCCTATGTCTGTGTGGTGGAGGGGGGGGAACTAAATAGCCATCCTATTGGGGGACGGGGTGTCCCTGGGAGCCTTTGGGGTGCTCACAGGCTCTCTCCCATCTAACCCCACCCCAGCCCAAGGCAGGCAATGACCCCCACAGATATCCCAGTGGAGGCCAAGGCTGAGCGGGACCCCCAGGATACCTCGGACTTTCCTACAGGAGGACCTGCAAACAGGGGCCTTTCTCAGTAAAGCGTCTTCACCTCACGGTTGGATCTGCTGGGGGAGTTGGGGGGGGGAGGGGAGGGTTTGGCATTTCAGAGCTAAAAGGAAAATAGGGTTACCTCCCCCCCCCCCCGAGCAGAGAAATGCTTGTGCCCTTCAATCGAAACTAGGAGGCAGCCTGTTTGCAAACAACAGGAAGAAGCAGCCTTAGGCCAGCGGGGGACCCTGGGCACCCTGAAGTCTCAGGCCCTGTTTGGGGGACTGTTGGGTGCCTTTCATCCACTGGGACTTTGGCCCCTGCCCACATTTGGCTCCGGGACCCCAGGGAGCCCCTTGCAGTGAAGTGGGAGAGAGGCGGCTCAGAGGCCCATTTGCCCCCCGGGGGGCCTGGCCGCCCCTCCTGCAAGGTGGCTTGAGGCGAGGAAAGGAATGGGGGCGGGGAGGCGGGGGACGGCTTGTTTACGACTCTGCCCTCCTCTCCCTTCCCAGGGGAAGCCAACGGAAGGGACTCCCTGAACACCGGAAGGGCTCCAGAACGGCTCAGCCCCGGCAGATCTCTGCCCTTACCTTGCTCCAGGTGGCCCAAGGGGGCGGAGTTGCCCATTCCCAGGGCTGGCTTTCCTGGGCTGGCGAGGCTGGCCTTGGGGGAGGGCGCCCATCCTGGGGAAGAAACGGCCATGGAGGGCGATTTGAGGTGGCCGGGCGAACTAGTTGGGGAGCGGACATTGAGCACGGAGCCCAGCACCTGCGGGGACTTGAGGGGGGCACTGCTGGCGGCTGGCAGGCTGGCCAGGGCAGAAGGGGTCTGAGGCGACTTGAGGTTGGCCGAAGGGGACGTGCCCAGGGGGGAATGTGCTTGGCTGAGGGTGGGAGACTTCAGGCGGCCCACGCTGGGCGAGTTCATCGGCCCCATGTTGAGGGCCAGGTCCGAGGGGCGGCGGCCCAGGCCCCGGATGGGAGCTGCGTGCATGTTGCTGGCCGAGGCACTGGTGCTGGGTGGCAGGGGAACGTGGCTGAGCCGTGGGGTGCCGGCCATGCCGCCCTGCTCCGGGCCAAACATATCAGGCGTGCCGCCCATCTCTTGCAGCACAGGGGGGTAGGGACCCTGCCCGGAGAAGCCCTGCTGCTGCCCCTGGCCTGGGAAGGGCGACCCCATCAGCATCTTCGGGGGGCCCCCCATCAGGGCCCCGGTGCCATTTGGGGCGCGTCCCCTGGCCATTTCCTCGTGGGACATCAGTTCCGCCCCCCGGGCTTTCTGGGCCAGCAGCATCTGTTGCTGCTGCTGCTGCTGCTGCTGGGGCGTCATCTGCACGCTCAGGTTCATGTTCATGTTGACGTTCATGTTCAGGTTGGTGGGTGTGGCCAAGGCGCTCGGCTCCACCTCCTGCAGTGGGGGTGGGGGGCTCATCAGGGCCCGGGCCCCCCCAAACTCCAAGCCCAGGCCTTCCCCGGCAAACAGGCCAGGCTCCACCTGCCGGTGGGTTGGCAGTACACGCTCCATCTCCAGCCCCAGAGACCCCGGGCGCTTCTCCAGCAGGGAGTGACGCAGCAGGTCCTCACGGGCGCGGGATGGCAGGAAGCGCTCCGCCTCGCCCTGCACTGGGGGGTACGAGAGGCCCCCAGGCGCAAAGTGTCCCGGACCCCTGAGAGGCAGGTCTTCACCCCACGGTAGGCCGGGCTGTATGGGGCGGGGCCCACCGCCACCCGGGCCAAGGGACTCCAGGGGCATCGTGGCAAAGCCCCTCTGGACATGGCCGCCCGGGAAGCCGCGGGGGCCAGAGAAGGTGGGCCGCAGCTGCTCCTGAATGTCCAGGGATGCCCCCCGCAGCAACCACTGCTCCCCGGGCCGGCTGTGGTAGGGTGGCGGGGGCCCCCGAAGCATCACGCCTCCCAGGGGCTGGGCCAGCATCACTTCCTGGAGTGGCCGCCCGCCATGCAGTCCGGCTTGCTCCTCCTTACGACGCTTCTCCTCGTAGTACTCCTCCTGCAGCTTGCGCCAGGCCACTTGTTCGGGGGTCAGGCTGTCCTGGCCGAGGCGCTGCAGCACCATGTTCATTGGCTGGCTCAGGTCCACCCCCGGGGGCAATGGCCCCTCCTGCTCCAGGCCTGGGCCCCCCAGGCTCTGCGTCTGCGAAATCATGGACTGCAGCGGCTCTTCATACTTCTTCACCCCCGCCCCGGAGAGAGCAGCCTGGGGAGGCTGAGGGGCTGCAGCCTGGGTGGGCAGGATGGTGCCTTCACCGGGGCCTGGCCCGCCCTTGAGGAAGGGCTCAGCCTCGCTGCCACGCAGGAGCAGGCGCTCGATGTCCCGCAGAGTCTGTAACGAGCGCTCCCGGTGCTCCAGCTGCTCCTTGGAGAGGCCTTCGGTGTTGAGGGGGTTGCGAGGGCCATTTCCTGCCGCAGGGGGTCCCGTGCTGGCCCCCTCCCCCAACAGGCCCTCTGCAGTGCTGGCCTGCAGGGAGCCGAGCGTGGTGGGGGTGCTGGGGTGGGTGCTGCTGGGGGCCGCGGAGCTGCTGCTGTTGCTGCCATTTCCCATCGAGTTGGGCGTCAGGTCTTGGCAAGACTCCTCGGGGGCCCCCTCTGGCGGGAGGGCGTTGCTGGAAGAGAGAGGCCCTTGGCCGAGCCCCAGGGGGGGCCCTCCTGCCTGCTGTCCTGGGGGCTGGCTGCTTGGGGGCAGGGCCGGCGGTCCCTGAGGCGTATTGGCAGGAGACAAGTGGAGCGGCAGGGGCTCAACGGCGCCCGGCATCTTCGGGAGAGGGGCCGGCTGCAGAAGGAGAAAGAAGGTCATTGCGGGGAGTGGGATCCTGTGGCCGGCCACCACCCCTGCTCCAGCCACAGGTCTCCCGCTCAGGGCAGCTGGTCTGGCCTCCCCAGGAACACGACTGGCTGCCTTTCCCCAGCTCCACGCTTACCTGGTCCAACTTTGCCCGGGGCACATGCTGCTGATGGTAGCCAAGAATGGAGTCCGCCTGGCCCTGAAGGACAGCCTCCGCAGCCCTGCAGACACCCAAAGAGCCATCAGGGACGCCCCCCCCTTTGCCTGGGACCCAGCTGTGGGCCAGGCCGGCCTCCCTGCGGGGAAACCTCCCCCTGGCTTGGGGCTGGCAGAGGGGAAGGCGAAGGAGATGCTCCCCACACCCACGGAGGGGCCACGACTTACGTGTTGGCCAGGTGCGTGGTGAAGACGTAGACCAGCTGCAGGCCCTGCTTTCCTCCAGCGTCTGAGCGCAGGCTGGGGGCCGTGCTGTGAGGGGCGCCAGGCGTATTGCTCTCGCTCAGGGCTGGCAAAGGGTTGGATCCTGGGCCCAGCTGCGCACTTCCGCTCATGGCCGACTCGGCTACGTGGCAATCTGCGAGGGACAATCGCTGCAGTTCAGCGCCTTCCCAAGTCACGGCCCCCTCCCTGGAAAGGCCCGCTAGCCTCTGGCCCCGGTGGCCACGTGCTCCCCCCAGCCACGATGGCCGTTTCCTCCTCCTGCGGGTTTCCTGGGAAAGCACCGAGGAGGGGAGAGAGAAGCAGGAGGCGGCGCTTGCAGGGGCCCCCCTTCCCCAAGGCCCGGCTGCGTCTCCCGGAGGGGCCCTGGGAGGCTGGGCCACGGCCTCCTTGGGGAGCAGAGAGATGGCTGCGGGGTCGTGCCTGAGCCCCTGGGCACTCACTGTGGCTGCTGCCCAGGGACTTGTCGTCATCCTCGCTCTCCGGCCCAGAGCACCACTCGTCCCCGCTGTAGGGCTGCTTCCTCTCCAGCACGCAGCGCCTCTTGCTCCGAGGGACCGTCTCGCCTATCACGCAAAAGGCTGCGCTAAGCCCTCCTCCATCCAAAGGCTGGCGCAGCTGGGGGGGAAGATGAGATGGCAGCCCACCCCGCCCCACCCATGGAGCAGGCGAGTTTGCCATTGCTGTGCCCCCTCCCCTGCAGCCTCACCTTTCAGCTCCTTGTCCAGTGGGGTGGCACTCGCTTCCCGCCGCTCTCCGGAATCCATGGAGACGCTGCGTTCCCGCCTGACTTTGCCCTTCAAGGCCCCAAAGACAGAAACAGGAGCCTGGCTGGCTTTCAGTGCCAGAGGGCCTGTGGCGGGCTGGCCAACTCTGCTGCCCTGGCTCCCTGCCCCGCCCACATCCTTAGCGCCCAGGTGGCCGATGGGAGGGGGGCTGACAGGGTGGGGCCGGGGCTGGGAGTGGGCACTGCTGCTGTTACCTGTCTTTCCATGGCTGGCCAATTTACTGTCAGGGTGCATTTGACTGGCTGAGGTTTCTGGCAGCGACACTGGAGGAGGAAGCCCCCCGTCTCTGGGTCCACCACCACTGGCACTTCCGGTCGGGCCAAACGCCTCCTGGGTGGGCAGGGGGAGAGAGAGGGGCACAAAAACAATCATGAGGGGGGCTAAGAAGCAGCCACGGCAGATGCTACGGCTTCTACGGCTCAGGCCAACCACTTTGTGCCAAGGTGTCCCCGAGACCTCCAGCAAACCTCGCAATCCTCACTCCCCACAAGCCCTCAACCTCCCGGCCCAAGACTTCCCCCCGCTGCCTCTGGGAGTCTGCAATTTGGCACCGGTGGTGGGTTTCCATTTTTCCCCCTACCGGTTTGCTCCTGCGCAACGCCTCTGCGCATGTGCAGAAGCTTCCGGGTGAGTGGGCGGAGTCTCCCGCCGTTGCCACTACTGATTCGCCCGATTTGGGCCGAACCGAGAGGAGCAACCCACCCCTGTTTGGCACCCCTTCCTGGCCCAGCCCTGCATGAGAGGAGGAGATGTTTAGACCGGAAGGAGGCTCTGTTTGGTTGAACCTGGCAAGGGATCCGCTCCAAAAGTTGCCCTCTCCAGATGTTCCCCTCCAAAGATAACCGTGTTGTGGAACTGGCCAAGGCAGATTGCTCCAATTGGGGGGAGGCAGGATTAAACATGTTCAGACGTATTGGAGAATCAGTATGGCTTCTGCAGAAGTAAGTCTGATTAATTTTTCAAAGTCCATCAGATTTTTGGACAGAGGCTGTTTCATCTGTCCCGGGATAAAGTTTCATCTGTCCCGGGATAAACAGTAACTTCATTATGAGTTAAGAGAAACAACCAACAATTCTTCCAGCAGACAAAGATGAAAAGCCCTAAGGAGAAGAGCTGGGACCAACATCTTGTGGAGTTTGGGCTCAGCACTAAGAAATCTGCTTACAATCCAAAATCATTTTGCATGCTTAAGGCAACAAAGAAGCCGCTCTCCAAACCGCTGGAGTCCACTACTAAAAAGCAAAAGAAAACATAACTAGGTATTCCTGGTTGGGACTGACGAGGAAAGGAACTTTCGGTATCAACTGAATGAAAACACACCCCTGTTGTCCAGTTGCTAAAAAACATGCCAATTCCACCTGGGGAATCACTGGAAACGAACCGGAATTTGCAGGCCCTGCCGCCATCCTTCCATGCAAATATATGATGTGCCAGAGGAGCCTACCCAGTTCTCTGTGGAGTTCAGCCCCTCTAGTGCAACGTAACAATGGACACTGTGCCTCAGAGTGGCTGATGGGGCCGAGCGTCCCTGGTAGCATTTTGGGGAAATGGCCATTAACAGATGATTGGGAAGAGGCCGAGCAAATCCAAAGGCTGAATGGAGGAGTTTCAGGAGAGGGGAGGGAGAAGGGCCCCCCCAACTCAAATGGGGTTGAGAAGAGGTCACTCTCAAGGCCTGTGGGGGGCTCTGGATCCTCTCCAGCCCTACCTAGGAGCACCACTTTCAGGGTCAAGGTGGGGAGGGGCCCTAGCCCGTCCCTTGACCTGCAGCTGTCTCTGGCCAGCAGGTGCTCCAGCCCTGAGGGGGGGGGGCTCCTTTCTGACACCGTCTCTTTAACTCTCCGTCGTCACGTGGGGCGGCTAAGCCTCTGGGGGCCTATTAATAGCAGCTGGAAAGATCACATCACTCCGGGATATTTATATTCCTCCTTCCACACCAGGAGAGATTTATTTCCAGGCTGCCCAGGGAGAGCCTGCTGGGGAGGGAGGGAGGGAGGGGGGAGCACAAGTCACCTGCAGGCGAGGGTGGCAGGGCCAGATGCCTCTGGACCACAACTGGCTCCCGGACAGCAGTCCCCGTCCCGGCCACTCCCAGCCCTGCTGGTGGAAAAGGCCTTGGGGCGGGAGGAGGGTTTGGGACCTACCTGCGGAGCATGGCACGACAAAACCGCGCTCGACTAAGCCGCGCCCGATTAAACCGCGTCGCTGACATCATCAACAGGGCGACAACAGCGCGGAGACAGAAGCACGCTGTAAATGCTAAACCTAAAATTAACCCCTAAACCTAACCCTAACCCTAACCCTAAAGCTAACCCTAAACCTAACCCTTAACCTAACCCTAAACCTAACCCTTAACCTAACCTAAACCTAAACCTAAACCTAACCTAAACCTAAACCTA